AATTCTTAATTAATACAATTTGTTAATTGTATATATTTATCGCAGAAATGAGTTAGCAATTATCAATTGATAGATTTTAATGTATATTTTCCTGATATATTTTAATTTTACTCTATTTTATGATATATTTCACTATATTTTAAAAAACTCTTTTTAGTAGTAGTTATTGATTGATGTAATTTAAAATCACGATAGAATAAACAATCATAAGTATGATTAAGTTTTGAAAATATGCAACATCGATTATCTAATCTCATGAGACAATAACATTTTGCTGAACACCAAGGGTATTCATCATTTTTGATGAATGAGTTTATAATCAATCAAAATGTAGTTTAATTTCAAAGTAATCAATTAAATTGATCAAAGTTGTTTTAACTTTTTGTGTTCTACTTCTCCTTGTTTGTTTTTCTTTCTTTTTCTCTCACTTATCCATCTTTTTTCCTTCCCTTCACTTTCGAGAGAAACATCATAAACAACAGATGGCGAAAATAAATCATTTCAGGGTGATGTAAAATGTGAATAAAAATAAATCACTCCACTCGCAAAATAGCATCCTTAAAAATAAAAGTTTTTAGTTTGAACAGGCATATCTCATGACGAAAACGGCAAGTCTCAAGACGTAACAGAAGACGTGTTTCCCGTGTAATTAGTGCAAACAGCAGGAAATATGCTTACATTGGAATGATTAGCAATTCTTGACGGATCGTTAGCAGTAACTTGATATGAATGAAATGAAACTAAAATGCTACTAATTAAAGTTTGTTAATTAATTTTTACGAGAAATAATTCAGTTAACCTTTTTTTTCAGCGGGTATTTCGAATATTTAAATTTTCTCGCCACTCTCAGGGTTTACGTATACTTGGTTACACGCTAAAATCATGCGCCAGTGAACTTGGCTTTCTCGTATTTTCACTGGCCATGGCAATAATCATTTTTGCGACAATAATGTATTATGCGGAAAAAAAAGTTAACGATACCCGATTCACCTCAATACCTGCTGCATTTTGGTATACAATTGTTACTGTAAGTTCTCGCTCCTTACTTTTCTTTTTTTTTTTTTTTTAAGAAAAAAATTATTCCAGCAAATTCTAAATTTATTTTATTTTTAGGACAAAATTTAAAGGAAAAAAAATTTTGAAATTATCAATTCTTTTCAAATAACCAATTTATCAACTCTCTTTATTTTTTTTAAGCAAAAAATGTGGGAAGCATTTGAAAATCCTCATACATCCACTGTTGCACTAGTTTTTTATTATGTTACCGGATTTTTTATTGCTTTATCGGTTTTATGCAATATTATTGAAACAGTACCATGCAAATATTTGGTTGATGATACAACCATTTCATGCGGTGAACTTTATGAACGACAGGTAAGCATTGTTTCATTTTGAAAATATTTAAAACATATGTATCATTTTTATTTTTTGAATTTTTTTTTTAAAATTTAATGAAATAAATTAAAAAGGAATGTTAAAGTGCTTTTCATATTTTTTTATAAATTTTAAAATTTCTTTGAAATTTTTAATTTTAGTTTTTCGTTCTTGATACTGCATGTGTAATCATTTTCACCGTGGAATATTTATTACGTTTATTTGCTGCTCCAGACAGGTGTAAATTTTTACATTCAATAATGAGTATGATCGATGTTGTTGCTATTATGCCATATTATGTGGGCCTTGGGTTCACCAATAAAAAAGATGTTTCGGGTGCATTTGTCACTTTACGTGTCTTTGTAAGTTTCTATTTTTGTTTTATATAATTTTTTAATTCCTATATTAAGTTTTTAATTTCCATATTATTACTGTTATCACAATTTTTACAATTCTTAATTAATACAATTTGTTAATTGTATATATTTATCGCAGAAATGAGTTAGCAATTATCAATTGATAGAT